TTAAATTCCTGAAGTTAACAGATACCTTCAGTGGGACCCAAGATCTGTCGAATGAAGTAATTCTTATTCTCAACTGGACAAAGATGGATCTGCAGGAAACATTGATTAAGCTCTTAGAATTAGAGAAGAATCATAGATGTCAATATTACATTCTAAGGATTCTTTTCACTTGGAACTCGCTGAAGTACCAGAAATCAAGTGGGAAACAATGCATTGTGGCTACTGATGTTGGTGGATTGGATTTTGATTCTGTCTTTCAGCTATGGGATAGATTGACATCCTTGTACAAGCTCACAAGACATGCTAAGACTCAAGAGACACTTATCTGTTGTCTGGCAATATGTGTGAAGCAATTTGCAGGTTTTTGCACTGGCTTTATTCTTACTGATTATGCGATAAAAAACAGTGAAAGGATTTCTGGACAATCCAAAACATTGACCTGCTTATACGAACACATTTCATTTTTTGTTAACCTTATTAATCATCACAGTTCGTCATCTGAACCAGTAAGCATGCGTAAGGCAGCTGCTGAATCTATGGTAGCATCTGGTCTACTGGAGCAAGCCGAGCTTATTGGTTCTTCTGTTTTCAACCACAGAATCCCCTCAGGACATTCAGGTTCTTATTTTGGTGAGCAAGAGTATATTAATATGTATGCTTACCAAATTATGGGGACATGGCTCACATGCATTAAATTGCTAGAGGATGAAGATGATGGGATTAGACAAAGACTTGCCATGGACATCCAAAGGTGTTTTTATTCCAAAAACTCTGGAAATAGTGCTGATGCCCAAGGAGTTCCTAGCCAAGTGGAAAAAGTTATTGAATCCAGTTTTGACCATCTTTCTTCTGTCTTTGGTCATTGGATGGAATACTTTGATTATCTTTTTCAGTGGGTATTAAATACAGCAAATTATGCAGTACCTGGTGGGGATCTTGTGAGACGGGTTTTTGACAAGGAAATTGATAATCACCACGAAGAGAAGCTTATGATCTGTCAAATTTGTTGCTCCCATCTGGAGAAGCTTCCTATTTCAAAGTCTTGGGATGTAGATGTTTTGTGCAAGGATGGTGTCAGGAACTATTTACGGAAGTGGAGGATGAAATTTTCTCGGCAGTTGATGTCATTTGCGAAGGACACCCTTGGGAGACAAGGAGTTGACTGGATAGGCGGTTTGGGCAACCACAAGGATGCATTTTTACCCCTGTACGGTAACTTGCTTGGATTTTATACCCTCTCAAACTGCATTTTCGATTTGGAAGCTGAGGGAGATGTGCGTCTACTAAGTGATGTTGAGGAACTTGGTAGAACCATTGATCCTTTTATGAAGAACCATTTAATTTCCAACCTGTTTCTTTTAGTTGTTAGGTTACATGAGAAAAGGGTTGGTTCGACTACATACGAGCTTATCCATGAATTCAGAGATAGGTTGATTTGGGATGATTTTGAGCCATATTTTCTTCTTAGATGAGATCAAGCTTTTGTCATACCTATTCCTATTTGAGTCTGATTGACTCAAGGGGCTTTGTTGTATCTTCCAGACGAGAAAAATGTTTTGCTCCAGAGTTGATGAATTCTTACGACCTGGCTGTACACTATTCTTCTATAGCAATTATTTCAACTTCTTGGTAAGTTTTTGTCTTATAATATGCACATTTGTTCCATCAAATCATTTAGGTATGATACTTGTCACTATACCATTAATGTGATAAAATTTTGCAGCATGGAATATTCAATGGAAATCTGACTTATAATAGGCAAAAAATAAGGGTAGATCTCTTGATTTATACAAAATCAAGTGGGAATTCTCTGACCTCATTTATGAAGATGGTGGGTCCTTAAACCATTATAATTCAAAGTTTAAAACTTTATGGTAGGAATTATATACATGCAATTATTGCCTCATAACTTTTTGCTTGGCTTGAACAACTACTTTGGTAAATTGAGATCTCACGTGCTATCATGCAACCAATACCTTCTCTTAGTAAAATTTTCTCTTTGGCCTTGCCACTGACCCTCCATGAAAAGGAATGGTAATTCACCTTCTGGTTTGGAGGGAGCAACCTTTGCTACATGATTTAATCATTCAGGAGTTGAAAGAAATTGCAAAAACAAGGCCCAACCAACAAGCAATTGAACACGCAAGAAATGTAATCATTGCAGTAAAATTAGACATCTCAGAAAAGAATGATTTAAAGATCATAAGTAAATCTAAATAATTGAAGAAACAACCAACAAAACGAGTAAGCAATGAGATGATAACATGAACAACATAGGGAAACATTAATTTTTCAATATCGTAACAACTAATTGTAGCACACAACACCAGCAGGACCTTGGACTAATCGAAGGCCCCCATTCCAAGCTCATGAAATTCTTTCGACAAATAGCTAGTAGTCAAAGTTGTGGTAATGAGGACTTGGAAAATGTTTCTAGAAAGTGCACCTTACTTGATGAATCTTGGAGAATAAATAATGGTGCATTTGTGCACATGATTGAGAGCAAGAAGGTACTAGATAATGTCAAGAATGTCTCTTTTCACCTGCATACTAAACTATACAATGGCTCTACCTTATGAATTTCTTTTATTGGACCTTCATTACTCCAACAATGTTATTTATGAACATTGTTTTAAATGTAATATGCTTTCAGTTGCCAAAAACACAAAAGACTTAAATGTCTAGCAATATTTTCATTTCCTAATTTCATTAGAACATACTTATATAATTATTGATTGAAATAGGTAGACTTTAAAATAGAATTATCTCATCTTATAAGAATACTAATTTTATGTTGTCTATTAGCTATGAATGTTATATGATATTGGGATATACACCAATTAAACATGAAGAATGCATTTTTGCATAAGGAACTCCACAAAGAAGTGTATATGAAAATAACTCAAGCCTTTGGTAAGCCAAGTAAAAAAATTGTAGCCTTAAGTAGACATCTTGTAGGAATTTGCTTGACACTAGTGAGGATATAAAGGTACAAATTATAATTGGGAAGTATTTTGGATGTACCTTGTGAAGTATGAGTAGTATATGATAATTTGTTGTTGTTGTATGTGTGGGTGTTAATAGGTTTTAGATTCCCTTTCTTTCTAGTGATGACCAAAATAAATACTTTTTGCATTAGTCTGTTCCTCTTTGAGACAAGTTTTATATCCAATTTAAATTGTTCAGCTTGTGGAGCTGTATATAAGAGAAAAATGAATAGAAAG